AAGGGGGAGGGGGAAGGGAAATAGTATGGGGCCAGAGGGTAGAAAAGGAGAGCGGTCGCTGGAGGGGAGAGAGGGTATAAAAAGCACGCTGAATAATAGACTCCAACCCTCTCCAAACATCTCCCTTCTCTATGCATACCACGGCCACGGTGCCCTGGACCGGAATCTAGCCTTACACATTCGAAACGTGTCCGCCTCCCGTCTATCTCCCCCTCCTCTCCCCTACGTCGCGCTGCGTCCACGATCACGGAGCTTTGATAAACTTGTGACGTACTCGAAGAAGAAATAAATGATGTCCTTCGTTTCGATACTTTTGGTTATTTCTGTCGGGGAGGAGATATCGCGTTTTGAAACTCGAGTCGTCGATGAGCTAGATATAAATTTAATTCGCTCATATAGAATCTGTTACTGTGAATTTATGCGCACGATGTTAATTATTGACAGAGTAATCGTTTTAAAATTCATCCGTACCCCCACGTCATGAATAATCGCTGTGGAATTGAAACTTGACGTTTCATTGGAAACTACTTTCGGTTATTATACGGACATTATAATGATGGTAAAGATGAGGACAGAATTATACTTTTCGTAGCGGTAGTTGTCAAGGAGACATTTCATTTAACAGATACAGCGAACATATCTCGTTACACGACACTGTCACGTGAAGCGTATTGAAAGTAGATTGAGACGCGAGTCAGACCAACGTTTTAGATTCAAGAGTTGTCGATGCATCGAAGACAAATCTGCCCACAGAGAACTGGTCGCACATCTCGGTTCAATGAAATAAAAAGAAAAGAAGAGGCATAATTAATTTGATTACGGCGGCGATCTCTCTGAAAAAGGTGGCAAGCCAGAGAAGCTGACAATGAGCGCGAAACCGCAGACGCGTGAAACGCGCGGCGACACCTACCAGCGTTTCTAACTCTTTCGCGTAAAACGCACGGCCACCATGGTGGCCGAACAATAGACGAAATCTGTTAATGCCGGCACGAACGACAATGAGTTCGACGTGGCGTGAGCGGCTCTCGAATACCTTTTTACCGGCGCTAATCCGAATTCGTTGGCCGTCGGCGAGGATAAAGCGATCATCGTCCCGGAACGATGCGCTCTCGAACTTCGGCTTCGATGATTGGGACTAGCGAGGTCAAAAGGAGAGGAGAAAAGAGGGGGGGGGGGGGGGGGGATGAAAGAAATGGCAACAACCGGATAGAAAAAGTGATTTTTGCCGCGATACGCGGGCTTCGTCGGGGCTCGTTCGTCACGAGCACGGCGATAGTGATCGACGAAAGCTGTTACGCGGCCGCCTGAACGACGTTAACGTCGATATTTCCCTGTAAACGACCACTCTGTTAGCCCCTGTTCCCTTGAAACCTCGGCGGGGGCCGAGATTTTCCGGGTCCAACTGCAAAGCGCGCCAACCCGGCAAAGTGGTTTTCTGTCGAAAGTAACGGGGCTTGGCGTGAACGCGATTTCGGCCGCGTTTCGAAGCGTAGCCAGCGCGCGAAATGGAAGGGAAAATCGTTAACGAAAATCGTGCATCCGTCGCCTCTCTGCGCCCATCGTCGCGTATTAGATATATTTCAGCCACGTGCGTGTGCGCGCTTAATAGGTTTCATCGTTCCTTTCGTCGTCGCGACGTTCGTTCGTTGATAGCGCTGCGCAGCGTAGCTTTTTATATTAATTAGAAAAATATATGTACGTATGTTCAATACTTCCGATTGTGGATATCTACGTAGGTCTGTACTTTTATTCGAAAAGTATTTTATTACACATTTTGGACACCTTTGCGTATCTCAAATTTATTTAATCATAAATTTATTTAATCGACTGTCGCGAATTTACTTGAAAAACACAGTCGATCGTTCCGTCGATTTGCTGAAAATTCTAAGCTCGAAGTTCCAAGTCGTTTGTATTGAGAGGAAACTAGAAAATTCGAGGGAGACAGCTCTCTCGCTCTACAACCTCAAATTGGCGGACGATGCTCGGGGAAGCGTGGCCCCGCGGCGAAACGCGTCGTTCACGCAGGCAAACACAACGTGCAATTTTAATCCCGAAATTACTTCCATTTTATTCCAATTTTCTTGCATTTAAACCGTCTAAGCGAGTTTACCTTGGCAATATCATTCGCCGAGGAGCTTTGGTGCTGCATCGTCCTCGAGATCGTGGTGGGCGGGTGGATGGATGGGTGAATGGCTGGCTGGATGGATGGATGGATGGATGGATGGATGGATAGCTCGGCTGGCTAGTCGAGAAAGAAGAAAGCTGAAGGATGAGGAGCGAAAGGTAGAAGATGGGCGGAGAAAGATGGGTCGGAGATGGAGAAGGTGGAAGTACCTACTCTAATAAATTTACGACCTAAAATGGTTAAGCCGCGTTAGCCCTGTTCTTTATATTTCCGCGAGAGAGGAACTAAAGAGTGAGCGCGCGCGCGCGAGAGAGAGAGAGAGAGAAAGAGAAAGGAGAGACGAAGGATTCCGGCCACCAACGAGTAAACTCACCTTCCTTCTGCAGAAAAGTAAAGAGAGACGGAGGATACGGATCTTGTATACGCGACAGGCGTCGTTGGTCGAGGGGGTGGCAGATTCAGGGAGGAAAGAAGTGAGACAGACAGAGAGAGAGAGAGAGAGAGAGAGAGAGAGAAAACAAGACGGTGGAAGGATGAAAGACGGGAAGAAGTGGATATATAAGAGATACGAAGGGAAATTCGCTTATTTTCCCATCATTTCGACGTAGCATCTTGTCCATGGCCTTTCCTCACCAACGGAGCCAGGAAAGAAAATTGCTTCTCGTCCTCGAGAGCAGAATATTGCCCTGATGAGCCCGGGAATGCCTCGATATCCGTTCCCTCTCCGCCCCCCTTTAACGTTGCTGTCTTACCAGAGTTATCCCCGCTAACGCGGATGCTCTTGTTCCTTCCGTATTTTTGGCCGTTTCTCTTTCAACAACCATCGTCTGTTACGACAACGATGACGACGACGACGACGACGACGATGACGGGGCATTCAATTTGCTCGTTATTTATTATTCGAAACGCGACACTTCTCCTCGTTGCAACGAGACGCGCTATATCGCAGAAGCAAAGTAGGATGAGAAAGAGAGAAGAACGATGGGGGAGGATGACGAGGGAATTCAGGGAGTTAAACGGGAAATTATGGAGTGGATTACATAATAAAACGAGGCAGAGAGAAAACGGTACGGTGGCGTCTAGCCCCGGCGTTGAACCACCACGACGCGGACGAGAGATGGGATATAGTTTGTTTGGAGACGCACGCGCGTTTCGTCGCGGGCCGCCGGAGACGAGCAACGGATATTCGTTGCGACGGAAGTCTTGCTGGGAAATCCGATTTCAGCAGCTGCAGATTCCTCGCGCGAATCGGATTGGTTTATTCGTTGTATCCTGGCGCGTCGATGGAAGCCGGCGACGATTGTGTAAAGGATCGGAATTTCGCGAAACTGAAACTCGATAAGTGTCGTTTCGGGGAGCGACGCCGTATTTCGGATACTCGAGTTCGCGTTCTTCGCCGTCTCTCTCTCGAATTCCGAATAGGAATCGATCCGCGCGATCTCTCGTCTTGGTCGAGCGGAAATTTGACAAAATTTCGAGACGCGTCGTCTCCTCTGGTACCATTCTCTCTTTAAGAAGCGATTGCTTGTTCGTATTTGACGAGGGCTAACTGTGACTGGCAAAAACCAACGCGAACGTGACGATGCGATTTCACGGGGTGAGACCGAGAAAGGACCGTCCATAACTGACCGATCGTTCGCATCGACGTCTCCTCTCTTCCCCCTTCCCCGTTTCACCCGCCCTCGCGTGAAATTTCCCTTCTCGCTCTCGGTAGCTCGTACACTCGTCACGGACGAAACGACGGGATAGGGCCTAGTGCGGCGTGTCTCTCTGCGCCACTGAATAATTCATGAGGCGAGAAGCCAGCAGCCGATACTTATCGCGATAGACTTTAGCGGGCTGCCAACAGCAGCCATGTTACAATAAAGAAATCAACATGGCCGACCGTCCTTTTCGTTCCCTCCTCGGGTGTCACCGGGTGCCCGGGCGCCCGTTTCTTCTCTCCTGCCCTTTTCTTTCGGGTCCACCTCACGGCGAGCTCTCCTCTCGGCGAGGGCGCCGTCACGTCGCGCTCACTTTCGATTTCGCCCCGCACGGTTACCCTCGTTACCCTCTTGATGCCGAAGAAGGGTGGTCTCCTCACCCTACGAGCTCCCTTCTTACCTCCTTTTCTTGGCCCGTGCTGCCTCCAGGGGTGGACCGCCCCGCCCAGACACATTTCTCCGCAACCCTCCTTTCTCGATCCTTGCCGAGCAAGACAGCCAACTCGAGGAAACGAACGCCACCGACGAGGGAGGACGAATGAGACGGAGAACCGTGCCGACTGTCGGAGCGAGAAAAGTAGTTTTGTAAGGAGGACGAACAGTGGACCGGGGGGGAAGGAGGGGGGG